CTAAAAACTGTGAACGTGCATCCGCTTTAGATACAACGCTGTGGTAGTCTTTGGAGTCCCAAATGGTTCGTCTAGTTTGCACATGATTCTTTGAACGTATGGCAACACTAGCGACACGACAGTATGTTTATATCAGGGAAGTTTCGGTGATGATTGTGAATAGAAAGAAAATGGACAGAAATGTCTTAAATGTGGATGAAGTGGTACTCAGTGGTACGGTATTTCCACGACCACGAACATCTCAACCATACTTCCATAAACATTGCACTTGCCTGATTCCAGCGTCAGCAGTTATACATAGATAAAATGCGTTACTTACTTTTCCTACCATGGTTCAATTCAGTCCAATTTTTTCCAACCATGCACTTTCGTGCTCCGGTTTTAGTTGGTGCGTCACGACTTCCAGTTTGGTTGAAAGAGTGAAGGGAAGATTGGAATGTTCAGATCAGTGTCAGAGTGAAAAAAGAGAATTCATAGGGGCTTATGTTACAAGGATAGTGAGTAGATGCACGAGCCCCATTGTTTGCAACACTTGGCCCTATCACTCAGTGTCTATTTGGGGAGGATTGATGTAACTTCATAGATGTTTCTGCTCGGTGTCACGCATGCTTGGCAGTTGGTTGCAACGACCATTGGTTCACTCCATTTTCCGTCGACCATAATAGTTGGATATATCTTCGACTTTGTATTTGTATAACTTTGCAAACTGAGATATGCTTACATTTCAGTTAAAAATTGTACACTGGTTGTCACACCGGAGAAAATATAGAAGTACAGAGAGATCCAATAGAGTGCTGTGCAACATAATGTCACCAAAGTTTGATTCACTGAATTAAAGATTGACGTAATTTATTTATAACTCGTTCCTTGTTGGTCAAGGTGCGAACCAGATACGGCACAGTGAAGTTTTTATAAATGTTTATTCGAGAGAGTAGGTACCGATAAGAGGAACGAGTGATCGATTAGGAGCGACAAGAAGATAAGTCACAATGTAAAGGATGGGAGGGGTGGTTTAGAATCTTATTGGAAAAGGCCACAGAAGACTTCATATGACCATTAATAAGTTCTGCGATTAATGATTCAGCAGAAATCAAAGATGCACGGCTTATCATCATCAATCCATGACGGATAGTTTTAAAGTCTTGTTTCAATAGACCGGGAAACACTACAGGGGAGCAGTCAAGTAAAATAGGGAGAACGCATTGTTTAACAAAAGAGAACAAAACTTGTTGGGGGAGTGCGAACTTGTCTGCCTTTTCGGGGCTGAAAGGAGAGGCACCGGAATTTTCCCATACAGTTCTGAATGTGTGTCGACCACCGAAGATTATTATCGATAGTAACACCCAGATATTTGGCTGAGGTCACTCTAGACAAGAGGTTACCATTAAGGGTTACAGAGTCTGACAGGAATGTAGAGCGGGAAGAACTAAAAATGCACTTGGATGTGTTAAGATTAAGGCCAGACTGGTTTGAAAACTGTTCGATTCGGGACAAATTTCCAGTGAAGGAAGAAAATTCCTTTTGCATTCATAATGAGTTCAAACGAGGAGATGCAGCTTTTGCCGTTGCAAACAAACAGCGTTCCCATGTGACAGCAAAAATGGAAATTCGATTTCATCGTTTCGGTGAAAAGACTGACACAGTTAAGAAGTGATGAACAAGAAGCAAACCGTTATGGAACGACAGAGGAGAGAAATGCAGGTGGATGGAAAGTTACGGAGATGAAACCTTATCTGGTTTGATCGTATGAATGTTGGATATGCAGAGCGAGAGTATATCTTTGGTTTTAAGAGGAGAACACAGTGACCACTGATGGTGACTGGGGCCATTAGTTTGAGAGAAAACAAAGTAGGATGGTTTGTGATTACCCTAGTAAGTATAGAGCTGTCCCTGGTAGGTGAATGCGACAAACCAAACAAGCCAAAAGAAGGTAGAGGGAAAATGCTTGCATGGTTGAAGTCACCAACAGCCAAATGAAGATTCTCATCTAATATTGGAACAAAAAACGGGATGCAATTATCAAAAAAAGATATTTCTGATTTGAACCACAAAGGAGGTATATACACATTGGTAATATTTGCACTTTTATATCGGGAAAATCCGGGATGACAACGAACGGATGAACAGTCAATACATTTTTCAGAATAGCTGAATACCACTTCCGACTTGCCACACCAAGAAGTGTTGATGTACGTTGCCACCGCCTCCAGTTTTCTTCCTGCTATATTGTCTATTCAGCCAGTAACAGTCGAAGCCATCTATCTGCACGAGAGCATCCTCAACTTTTTGATTTAACCAGGTTTCTTGTATGCATACGACACGTGTTGGAATTGATGCGTGTTCAGTGAGGAAGTTAAATCCAAGATCTTTGCAATGAGAGAGCGAACGTTGGTGCTGACCATTGACGACACGGTTATCTTGACAGGAGGGGTGCTATTAAGCGCACGCTGCCACCCAGCACGTTTGCGCTTCTTGATCCATGCATGACTGCCAGATTCTCCAAGCATATTATTTGTGTGAGGCACAGAATTAACTGATTTCAATCTAAGCATACGCTGACGAGAGTAGGTATGGGTCCGGAACATGTTTGACGTGGAGAGAACAATAGAATCCAGGGAAACGACGAGCACACAAAACGTAGCGCAGCCAATCGAATACAGTGTCCAGCCTGGATTTAATTTGCCCCCAGCAACGGGGTGGAAGCAGTGCCAGTACGTTGTTGGTCAGGTTGCTGTCAGTTTCAGGGCGGAGGCTTCCCAAATAGTGAATCCGATGATGTTGTATGCACACTTGATAATACACTGCAGTTGAACTTTTGTGATCGCCAAATTTAATTCTAAGAAGTATTCTTGTCAGTGACAACTTCTGTATCTCATTCGTTCATGAAGAATACGCTTTGGTATTCTTATTTAGGCGTGAATCGCTGGTATATCTGGCGTGCTCTCATCAATCTAGAGACAAACTGGACGATATTTACTCATCATATGGTGGAATTATTTGTTTGTGGGATTTGTACTGTCAAGTTGCCCAGGTCAAGGCAAGTGAACTTTTCTTGGGGAATTCACATCCGCAAGGCAGCCGGGTGGTGTGTGAAAACCAAAGTTCATTGGAGACCGGTGTCCAATTCGTCGGATCATACGCCTTTCGGACGTTTTCAAGTGTCCAAGGTGTCAAGTACACCTCGATATCTGATCGAGTCGCTGAATAGCGCCACAACCAGGAAGGTTTGGGCGTGGTTCATGCATCTCTTTTTGTTTGGTTTGTATTCAGGGTTTTTAGCCAGCTCCCCTGGGTGAACTGCCAATGGTTCACCGACATGGTTATAGCTCTGGATGTTGGCTTTTCGTCCTCTCACTGTGGTGGTACAACACCAGTCAGGTGAAGGCAGGGAGACGGGCTTCCTCAGAAGAGGTTAATTGAGACGCTTGATCGTATAGGAACAGTTTGCGAGGTGAAAGGCAATGGTGACCACCCCCAACCTGAAACACCCACCCCGACCATTCTGAGGCCTACGGAGGCTCACATAAAAGTAATTACCAGATAGTAAGCACCGGGCATTCCTCCAAGGTGAAACTGGCAGCGAGGGGGGTCATTTGGTGTTGAATTATATTCTAGGACCGAATGAAACCAATGGAACATGCTTTTATGCAACCTGCTTCTCCGATCACCTCGACGATAGGAATGGGTGGATCAAAGAGACATGCAAGCTGAATTGAGGTGCCCATCTACAAAGAGAACGATCCACAATTTAAAAATTGTCTTTTGTAACTACACCATTAAGAAAGATTTTGAGTATACTCTGGTTGTTATTCATTTGCTCTCCCAGTCTGACAGGTAGACCGGAACTGTTTCATCGTCGACCCAGCGGGCATTCTCGATGTTGTAATTCATTAAGAAATCAAAAATACCCTTGTCCTAGAAATATCAGTAAGATATACAACATTAATAATATCTTAATATCTTCTTCATTGATTATGTTTACCATTTTTGTGTTTTTACTTGTGTGTTGAGTAAACAAATGTACAGTCAGTTTTGAGGAAGGGGTTGAGGCCATACAAAGGATTCTGGGGAAAATACAGAAATAGAGAGGTTTGGCACTGGTGGTGAGGTTCGAACACAGGTCCTCCAGGTCGCCAGTTTGTTTACCTTAACCACAACCACCATCGCGTAATGTGGACCGCTAAAGATCCGATTACTATTGTGTTGACCGCTTGTGTTACCAATTTTTAAAACCATTCTAGTTTGCAGCAGTAAATAAAACCGTTTAGGCGACAAAGCGACCTAATATTTTTTGAAAGACAAAGACAACTCGGGAGCACTATTTCTTCTGCCAAAAATTGTCTCATTATCCAATTACCACTACTTTTCCTATGCGTATTTTTGTACCTTCAACTTCATTTTCGCTCTGTTAATCGGCAGCATTTTTTTTATCAACTATGTGTCTTCTGTAAAACAATAATAAATTGAAATACACTGGTCTGAGTAAGTGACCTCATCATATCTCCTGGGTGTTATAGAAAGCAATTTTCCTTCACTAAATGGAAAATTAAAAAAATGCCACCTACGGCACCTGGTTTCTTCATGACGTGTCTTGTATTCGCTACAAACATTTAACGAATGCTTTCATCCTCGTTGGCTCCAATGGCATGTGTACAGAGTAGAAATAGACCTTAACATTTACACGGCCATGGGATGCTGGACAAAAGGATATCAGCATTGGAATACACTAGTGAATTGAAGACAGTGATTTGCACCAAAAGTGTATTTTCCTCCAAAACTCGAAAGTGTTGGATTAGTTGTGCATCAATTGTAACTGAATTTCGGAACAGAGTTGGAATATTAAATTCTTGATGATCAACCTTTTGCCCCTCCATACAGTCAAGATAATCGGTGTATGGTGCACACAGCTCTTTTATGAAGGACCCAAACCCTGATTGTTTGTTATCTGTGTCCAACTCGTGCCGTCATAACAGAACCCGCAAATTCGTCGATTTCCGTGGATGGAGTACCCGGAGACTGTGATTGCCGTGTGTATAGGCGACCCACCGGACATTGATGCTGCTTCTGTCCGTGCCGCACATCCTTCATCCGGTTCGTCGGCCGAACTATGTGCTGGAACGCATGTGAAGAACACAGTAGACCTGGTCGATCTGGTCGTGATCGCATTGCGCGGTCGAAAACAGGCTGTGAAACAGGTTAGCTCCGATCACTTAGCATTATTGTGTTATAGTTCTCCTCTTCCTGTTTCTGTTTTATAGGGCGTGGGAGCGCAGAGCTCCATGCAGTGCGTCATCGCATTCTTTTAGTTCAGTTCTTACATTCACTAACGCCTCCGTGCATTGTCTTTGGGCTATACATCTGACCAGATATCGCAGGAAGGAGTAAAATCTGCGTTTCATTTTCGGTTTGAATAACCATTAGTCATGCGTTTTCAGGCTGTGGTTTTCCCTAGCTGCATTTTTTCTGCCTACTTCGAGTCATGGGCAGAAGGAAGATGGGAATGTTCAGAGTAATGTGAGCCTGAAAATAAAGAACTAGACTAAATTTGCAAGTACTATGAGCTGATGCATGAGCACCGCTGTTTACGACGCAACCATGTCAGTCTCAGGCACCCGCTTGAATAACTTTTTTCACATTTGCCGAGTTCTTCCTCCTTCCCCCTCCCGAATCGTACGAGATGCTTCCACCATGTATACCACCATGATTGTTGATGACGCAGTGGTTTAGTTGCTGTACCCGGGGTGCTTTGGGCTCTTTGGCCTAATTTTCGATCTCCCCACCGCCACCCAACTTTGGTGGTAGGCAATTTTGCTGTTGACCGATTCAATACCACGCTTAACTTACCGGAGTCACTCCGAGTCCCAGAGCTTAGGTTACCGATTTCCACCGCTGGTCTTTGTGACTATGGGATCTGCCACGTCTGCTGTTCATCGTACAAGTGTGTAATAAAAACATCACTCATTGTTCAACCAGTAAAGTCAACCAATCAGAAGATATTAAATTTGTAAAGTGAAAATCTCCTTNTCTCCTTGTAATTTAGTCTTATTTCATGCTTGCGCCCTCGAAACTTTCAATTTAGACGTATGTTGTGTCTCCAAAACATGCTTACAAGACAATTCGACATCTAACAATTCCTGTGAGGCTGATATAAGGATAGCACTAAGTGTCAAGACTGAGCGCTTACTTCTTGATTTTATTCCGGTTTGTAGTCGACTTCGCGTGGTACGTCTCGCCGGTTCAATAGGGTTCAACAAGTACAGAACCAAGCGTTGGTGCTTATTCGTCGTGTCCGTGTATGCACTGACTGATTGCGGTCTCATTCACCACGACGTTTATCAAAACAACGGTGGATTCTGTCGCACGATCAGAGAACAAACGATTAATCTCATCAGCCTCACATATCTCTTTGTCACCGGCACAATCATTCATCCTAATACTAGATATGTCAACGCGCAAATCCCGGAAACTTTGACTTTGAGTCTGACTGGATACTGATTAATATTCAGCGATGTCATCATGAATGATAGACTAAACAGTTCGAGCCTCCATTCAATTAATGCTTTTGGACATTAGACCTTTCAATCTCTTTCTGTACTAGGCAAGTACTACCAATTAATATCAGTCCAGAAGTGAAGGTTACCCAGGAAAGGAGCCACCTCAAACGGTGTTAGGTCCCAGTCTCGAATGGGCTGTTCCCATCGACTTCTAAAAATGTATGTTCAGCCTTGATCTTGGAATTGACGTAACTCCTGGGGTCCGTATTAGAGAGTGAACAGGTTCGAACTGAACGGTGTGAGTCGGGCCATCTTATCGACTCTCGAGAAAGGTGACCGGTCCTCTTGTGAAAACCACAGTGGAATTGGTTTGTCCAACATTGTCTCTAGAACTGAGAACAGTACCAAGATAAACATAAATAAGGTGAATGACAAGATACTCAACAGCACTGATAAAAGCAATCAACCGTAACACGTACTATATCTAAGCAATAATTCGGCGAATTCCGAACGAACCCTAACTCGGCCTATTTATCCAACCCCCTTCGGTTCAAGGTTGTTATATCGTCATGCTAAGTTATAATCTGATCAGCACCCTTAGCCTTCTACCGACTTCGGTAAACATTGCACGCCAAGAAAGACCCACTAACGTGGTGGCGCAGTGGTTTAGTTGCTGTCACAGACGTGCTTTGGACCCCATGGTCCGAGGTTCGAGCCCCGCAACCGCCACCCAATTTTGGTGCTATACAGTTTTGCTATCGTCCGATCCAATACCACATCTAAAATTTCGGGGCCTTATGTGGTTTGCCACTTCACGTCCCTGGGATTAGGTTACCGGTTTCCATCACTGAACAGCAGGTCCTCGTGACTATGGGGCTTTCCCGTCTGCTGTTCATCACACCAAAATGTGTAATAAAAAAAATTATGTAGGTCATACGCTCGCCTCATCGCGCAACCGCATTCCCCTAGTACCGTTCATTTAGTTCAACACTGCTTATCTGATTTTTCCATCAAACTCTTGCAGTACAATGTAGATAGCGGTGTTTGAACATCAGTATCCTGTATGAGATAAGGTTACTGTAACCAACCAGTACTATGGTTCAATCGGTGTGAGAATGATCAATTAAACATTTATCCGGCTTCCAGTTATACGTATACAAGGCAAGAATATCAGTGCTGTGGTTGGGATGGTTACGTTCTACTGAACACGGTCCTGGAGCTCATTTAAACAATGCATGAACAGTTTTTCCTAGGCTTCGAAGAAACCCATACACCCATTGTGCTCCAACTGAAACTCCATCAGAGACGTCGGTATGTATTGATCTCTCTATGATTGTTTCATGTCGGTCTCAATGACTTTCGAGAAGATTCTAAGCAGTCGAATAATCTCACTGAACATGTAATGACAGCAAGCTATTTTTCAGTGCTTCCTAACCACATCAATACAAAGCAGTAGATATGACCTACCACAGATAATGGTTCAGCAAGAGTTCAGGTGGGCCAGTTTTCTCAATATTTTATTTCTCTAGTTTCTCAATTCATACATAGGCTTCTTCAATAACCTTTTATCTCTTGCTTGGGAGCTTGAGGACCGATCATTTCTCGTGAGTTCAGTCAGGAGAGCCTAAATGCTTGCAGAAATGGTTTTCGAACCCACTGAAAGAGGAGTAAGTGCAGACGGATGTGTATTGTTTCCTCTCTGGGTAAAATGCAAAACCTAGCTGTCCTATTTTGTCTCTTTCCCGGGGTTGAGTTACATTAATCACGTTTACAGTGTGATTACTGTCAGAAGGATGCGAAATCACCGCATTTTTGATTCTTAATAACGCACTTGTTTGAAACTTTTTTCTGTCACCCAACTCCTAATTGACTGGTAGTGATGGATTACAGATTTTTGAAAAAATACCCGTGTTTGCCTAATGTGCATTTATTGACAGAAGAAGATAATATTTGACAAACGAACTTGACGCGTACGTTCAACCCTAATAGATAGAACTGAAACCGAATTGCACTTTCGTGTCAACCACACCCTTGTTATCGGCAGCGCTGTATAATCATCGACTCAGTGTAGACTGGGAACTAGGACCACCCACATACACGCACACAAGCAGAATGCCCTCGTAACTAATTCACTTGATTAATGTGCGACAGAACACATCATGCGCCTCTTTGCAAATCTGTTGTGAACTTATGCTCCCGCGCAGAGGTAATTCTGTTTGAAAACATTTCGCTTGGTACTACCCAGTTTATGCTGATATCCGACCTTATTGATCCGAAATGGGAACTCATTTCCTATTTCTATTTGCCACCATCCTGGACTGAATTTTTGCACTATGAATTGCATTTCACTAAATTCAAACTCTTCCTAAGTCAAGTTGTTACTACCACAATATTGATCGTGACCTTAGTGTAGTGAGTTTCACTGGACTCTGATCTCGAATATATCTCCCCCATGGGGTAACGACAATTTTCTATCATTCAGTGGTTCCAAAACCGTCCTCCGTTCAATTTCTGTGGACCACTACTCATTTCCCTTACCCCCATTTATCTTTTAATTTCATCGAAATGCGCACCACAAATTCTGTTTCTTTTCTTTCACTGCCTACAACTTCTTGTTTATACTGGCCCCTTTAATATTTCCGCTTGCTTCTCGTTCCGCACGTAAGGCTGTTTTTTATTCCGCGCCAGACGTTTCTTCATCCCATGCGAATTGTTTGCTCCGGTTCTGTGGGTCGCTCCTCGTCCCGCTTTTATTCGTTGCC